TCCATTTGATTCTCCATTATTGGTACCCAATATACCCTAAACCCTAAACCCTAAACCCTAAACGGCACATATCCCAGTTTCCATTTCATTTTCCATTTTCTTTTCCATTTGATTCTCCATGATAGTAGGCACATATGGGAGCCTTGCCTTGATCCAGGGAACAACTTTTGACGCGTCAGCGTCTATGTGCAACCCTATCTGAGCGATAGTCTAAACACCTTCAAGGGGGGTATATAAGGGATCAATCCCTAAACCCTCAACCCCTAAACCCTAAACCCCTAAACCCCATTCTACAAGGGATTATATGGGGGGACTACTATAGGGGTTATTAAGGGGGATACTAGGAGTTTAGACTATGGTTCCTTGAGTGGAGGGTTGTGCTGGAGAAAATGGTTGGCGCCGTGGCTTCCTGGGGAAGATGGATTTTTTCCGAAAGATGGTTAATTCATGGGTTCTTTTACCATCCCCCTCATCCTATGACCGACCTTATTGCTCCCCAAAGAACGTTAATCAAGGGTGGGTGAGTAGGTGAAGCCATGCAATGCTTAACTCAATGCACTTAATCATGCGCGAGTTTGGGTGTTGGGTCTCTGGTGGAAGGTTAAAAGTGTAGCTTAGATTGACTCAACTTGGCGTGTCCTGATGCCTCACGTTACTGCACCCTATTCCCCTCGCCGCCTTGACCAAAAGGCAAACCACCGTCTTCCACAGCCTTAGCTTAGGCCACCTATGGGCTGGCCAGGTGGACGGGCGAGTTTGCTGGCACCTTGGATGTGACAGGTTCCTCACAGTGACTCCTTGAAAGCAAAGGGAGATGTTTTTTAGCCAGAAGGTGGAGCGTGCACAACCAATTTTTTAGGACCAGGGATTTTTGGGGTTCAGGGGTTTCAGACTGAGGTCCTTTTTATGAGTCGCATGACCGGCTGAATTGACTGGCCTACAAGCCATGGGCTTGAGTAGCAGAACATCCTTGTGACATTGTACTCTTTACAGTGAAGGGAAGGGTTTTTTGTCAGAGGCCTTTTGGGGGTTTCCATGTTGATCTTGGGGAGGGTAGACACAAGCAAACGCTGAGGCGTTCCTCCGCCGGCCAACGGGCCCATCGTGCGAGTCAGGGACCTAGATTTCTACTTGCTGGAAGGAAGCTGGGCTGACGATTTAGCCAGTTGATCAAACGTGTTTTAGTTTTAGATATCCCCTGTGTACCGAACGAGAACACTAAATAGTAAACGTTACCTACCGGCACTTGGGAGTCGCCGAGGGCTTGGGCTTTAACCCGGAAACCCTACAGCTCTAAACCTGAAAGCATAACCCGTTAACCCCTAGACTCGAAGCTTGAAATCTGAAGCTGAGGAAGTCGGATCAAGATTAACTGGTGCCTGGTGGATGTCATCGATTTGTTCCAGCAGGTTGGATACCAGGCGTGGTTTGCCAACATTTGTCAGACCTTTCTTACCAGCAGTTGGTAGTGGGTGAGGGCTCGGGTTTCAACCCCTTAGCCCAAGTTAAGTGTTGGGGTCTGGGTGTTTCCGTTGTGTAACAGCTCTCCCGCTAGGACAAGCACGATGTTCCCCGTAAAGGCCTGCCGGAAAGCCCTTAGCAGGTGTGCCGTAGCATCGCCCTAACCATCTCAAGATGAAGCGCTATCCTAAGCGCCAGCTGTAGACCTGAAACCAGTATCTGTGCGTCTGACCCCACCTTTGACAATTTGCAGCTCTGCCAGATTCGCAGCTTGGAGAGTAACATTTTTTGCTTAAGCCCCACACAACAGGACCCCTAAGGCCCCTAAGTGTGTTGGACAAATCGCGTCTTCAAACCAAAGAACGCAGTGAAGGTGCTCCCTCCCAGCCCGCTTCCCACGGACGGCTACGGCTACCGCGCCCCGCATGCCATGGACGGGCTGACGGCGCCTGTGACTCCGCGGCCGCACTGATGATAATGTCCTTCACAGCCCTCAACCCTAACCTCTGAGCCCTTAGTCCTGTCAAGGCTTGCCTTTTCTGCTTGGCGTAAGTTTGGTTCCGGATCAGAAGGTTTAGGGCCCATTGAGCATCAGGGAGTAGAGCCCAGGAGCTTCCTCTTTACTGAGCAAGACGCCCTTGAGTCGGAGTGCCTTCGGTTCGCAAGTGAAAGCCTCTGAAGAGGGGAGGGTTTGCTTTGGTGATCTTGGTAGCGTGAACAAGATGTCAGAACAGCTGGCTTTTCTGGAGACGTTAATGGAGTACAAACGCATAAACTTCGAAGTACTCTAGACCCCTACCGCTAAGCTTTAGGCTTTCTTTTTTAACTAGGGCATCATCCATCTGTCTCCATCCATCTGTCTCATAAACGCCCACACCAACCTGAAACTAGGCGAGTGTGGACAGCCGCGCTTCACGATGACTACGACACTGATGGCGGGGTCTCTTCACTCTGGGCAGCGGCCTGCATCAAGTTTATTGGAGTATTCAGTATTCAACATGTGAGCTAGAGTCTAGACTTCTTCAAGAGAGTTATATAGGGGACCATATAGGGGACTATCATAGTGTTTATTAAGGGTGATACTAGGTGTTTAGACTATGGCTCATGTTGTTTTAGGAAGGTTTTGGGGTCCTGGGGTATTGCCGCTGCCACCGATCGTGGTGTCAACCCCCGAGTTTTTCAGGTCCCGCGAGTACGTCCAAGACCCGTTTGCTCTGCCTCCCGTTGTGGTTGTCTGTTTGCTGTAGAATGGTGCAGCGGCTGGTTGCAGCGGAGGTGTTGACGGCTATAGGCTGGGTACTGCTCCCACCCACTAACCGTCCATAGTAGGGATGATGTTAAGGGCTATTTTAAAGTACAACATATCTATTTATCTATTTAACTCTTACGAGTGGGGGGCATTATCCAAGCTGTAGGGGTGGTGCTCGTGGTGTTGGCGGTGGCATCTTGCCGGATTTTCGCTGATAAGTCAGGGTCACCCAAGTTGGCTGATAAGGCAGTCCTCTTAATTCTGCGATTTGAGCCTGAGCTGATAGCTGGGGCATCTCAAAATCAAAGTCCAAATCTGTGTAGGGATTCAACAGGTTGTTTACGAGGTTTCGCAGGCTTGTCTCGGATGTGCAGAATATGGGTCCACAACGGCAGTAGCCAGATCCTTGATCCCCTTTTTTTTGAGATGCCGCCAGCAGGGCACGCAACAAACTAAAGTCGGGTGAGGGGTGGATGTGGAGGGTCTGTGGCTGGAGTTCGGCGCTTGGCAGTTACATCGGTAGTTACATGTCCCTGACCCAGTAGTGGCACTAGTTTAGCCTGGTGCACATGACTTTGACGCATGGATGCAGAAGATGAGGCTTGAACTTCACAGAGACCTGAAATTCCCGACGTTTTGAAGCCTAAAGCTAGAAGCCCCCGGTAGGCCCTGGACGTACACTGCGCTAATCGGACATGGAACCCTTGCTTGGCGCCTTCTTCAAAGGACGGTAGTCTGCAAAGAGTTCCTTTTGGGTTCCATTCCTGCTGGGGAGAGTGTAAGGACAACGTCACCTGGTATGGCCCCGCCGGGGTTGGCACAGCCTCATCGCGTGATGCGCATCCTGGCTATTGCTTGGAATTTCGTTTTTCATAGATCGGGTCGCGGTGGCCCTACTAACTGCAAGAGCATCCTGTCGAGGGGGGATGGGGACGGGGTGAAGCTGGCGCATTTCCTCTACGGAGGGGCTGGACTCCACCACACCTGTAAGCCTTTACCTTCCGCCAAGGTCCAGTTTCTTGTTTTGGCAAGATGAGGATGCAGCTTATGCAAGGGCTCGCCAGAGTTTTTGTGTGAACTTTTAGATCCAGCTTGTCGAAGTGGAACACATGAGTTCAAGTTGCGCTGGTTTGAATATTTGTCAACGTGTGGCTAGTTGGCATTCCAAACTAAGTGTAGCGAAGGGTAACCTGACCGGATAATACTTAATGCGGCCCCTGCAGGAATTGGATCTTGCTTCATTCGAGAGTCGTGCCCCTTCAACACCACTAAGCCCTAAATCCGCAGTCCTACACCCTTCAACGCCACTAAGGTATCAGAAGCACTGGCTAGTGCCCCTGCGTGCAGCCTTCTCCAACCTGACAAGAGAGACCGACTTGGTTGTCTGCGAGGGTCCTTACTGCGGGGCGCATTTTTACCTGTGGGGACACTTGGCTGAGGAATTAGGAATTAGGGCTTACAACTTTTGTACTCAACAATTGGGGAAAAATATTTTCCCCAATTGTTTAGGAATTAGGAATTAGGGCTTACAACTTTTGCGTTCAAGAGTTTGAGCCATAATGCTGGACTTACACATTTTGTTTGGGGATGGTTGGGTTTTCAGCAGGTTCCAGTTCTGCAGTCGGAGGTGAACACAAGGGACAAGGGCCTGGAATGGGCTTGTAAGAATCCAGCGTGGTTTTGCTACCTCAAGAACTTAGACTTTTCTGGTTTTTGGTCGAGGGTTATGGTTTGGAGCCTTGAGTCTTCGGATACAAGCTTGAAGGATCTGAGAAGCAACCAGCAGAAACTTCATGATTTGCACGACGTCCTACGCAACTTTTGCAAAGAAGACCCCGAAATCAAGATCTGATGCATGCCTCATGAAACTCTAACGCTCAAAATCCCAAACCCTAAACCCAAATCCCTAAATCCCACTTGTTCATAGGGGCTGAAGGAATGGCTGACTATACGAGCCCCAGTAGGCTCCAATACTATTGTAGCTTGAATTCATTTTCTATTCCTTGATTCCCCTAAACTCTAAACCCTAAACCCCTACTACAGGCAGCAAGTTGACTTCAAACCCTCCATATCCCTACGGACCGTTTTCTTGTCCGTTCCTCTAAAGCTTAAAGCCCCAAAGAGAAACTCATAAACTCTAAGCCCTATGGTCTTTTCCATTTTCTCTTCCATTCCTTTAAAGCTTAATGCCCTTATATGATCCCATATACCCTTATATACCCTCATATACCCTTGTATACCGTTGTACACTCCTGCATAATCCTCTAGAACCCTATACATCCCCATAGAACAAAAAGAGGAACTCATACGGGCCCATGGCTCGGTGAAGCACCCACGGGGAAGCGTGTGCCCATTCGCTGCGGTGCACATGGGCACGTTGTTGGTGGTAGACTCTTCGACTGCAGTGATAGGGCTTACGGTTTAGGTATTAGGGCCTGGGGTCTGGGTCTTAGGGTTTAGGGCTTAGGGTTTTAGGGTCTAGGCCGTGGCATCACCAGCATGTCCCTGTCTTCATCTTCATCTTCATCTTCATCATCGCAGGGACGAGGAGTCTGAAGAGCAGCGGCAGCGGTTGTGGTAGTAGGGAGTACTAGACGTACTTTGAGTTTTGGCAATAACGACCCTTTGGCACTTCACCGTCCCCATAACAACCACCTCAAGGGGCTGCAAAATCATTGGAGCAACTGTAGGAAGTGCATGTGGTGGATGGTGGAAGGGTAGCAATTTGTGGATCTGCCTTTTTGAGTACTTTCAGTAGGATCATCTGGTAGTGGTGTCGGTGTAGTCCCGAATCCCAAAACCACCAGGACCTTCCTCATGTTTGCCAGGGCTATCTTGGTAGCATGGACTCTGATGACTTGCTTTGTTCTCCTCCTACCTGTTATCCTACTCACTTTTGATAGCGGGTCTTTCTCAAAGTGGCTTTTCAGTCTCTAAAAGCACAGTTTTGAGAAGCCTCGTTGTACGGTGGATGGACAAAATCCTGCGCAACCCTACATTATGCCTCAACTCTGAGATTTATTCAGCGTTAGCCATGGGAGGAGTTTGAGAACCCCAAACCCTGAAAGTCAAGACCCAATAACTATCATATGACTGCGGTATGGCACTGTTTTTTTCGTAAGCCCCAAACCTCAAACTTCAATCCCCAATCTAGACCCTGAACTTCAAACCTTAAACTTCAAACCCAGATGAGCTACAGTCTAAACTCCTCAAAGGGAGTTTTATCGGTATCGGCATTATTATGGGGGGCTCCTGTAGGGGTTAGTAGGGGGATGCTATATGAGGATTTCCCAAAATTAGGGGTACCGTTTTGGAGGTCCCTATAATAAGGTTTATAGTATTTTGGGGAATATATTGGGGTCCCCTTGTTTTGGGAAACTACCATCTATTTTGCTCAGATCAGTGCAGTGCCGAGGACTCATTGAAGGCTGGATGATCATCGACATCCCGCGTGCTTTCCAAGCAATTCGGACTGCTTTGGTTTGGGGCCGAAGAGAAGTTCTCCTTTATGAAAAGGGGCTATAGAGGTTAGGATTTACGGTTTTAGGGTTTAGGGTTTGGAGTTTAGAGGTTAGAGTTCAGGGTGTAGGGATTGCAGTTCAGGGTGTAGGGCTGTTGTAGGACGATCCCAAAACCAGAGATCCATACAAATGTGGGTAATCGGTTCCCCCTGATATTAAACAACATTCCCGCCCATAGTAGATATTCCGGGACCCGAAAAGTTATTTAATATTGGGGGGCGGATATCTATTGAAAGGATTAAATAGGGCCGCCTTTGAAGTTTTTGTTCATCCAAACTTCTATTCGAAGTGGAATACATACTTACTTAATTTAACTAAATTATCTTTCATGAATTTCTTTAACTAGTTAGATTGACTTAATGAATCGAATTTATTATATAAGTAATTATTCCATTAACTAATCAATTCCCTAATTCTGTTGTATTTCTGATTATAGCCCCCCTAATGACCTCAAAATTCATTATTGGGTTGCCCGCTTTAAAAGTAGTCTTGCCATTTTAAAAGTCGTCTTATGGATTTTTAGGCCTTCGAATTTATTATTTGATATTAGTGGTCTTTTAATATTGCGGGGAAGGGATTAGATAGCGGGTAGACAGCGATGTACGGGAAGAATAGGGCTTAGGGATGTCTTTCTCGGGAACCTGCAAGAAGGACCATAAAAAATGTAAGTGGCAACTCTTTCTGTGGAACCTCCCAAATGTAATAGGGGTCCTGCTATTTACCAGCGGGTGCCGAGGCCCAGTCTCTGACATGAATGGATGTTGAATCCCCTTAAAGCAGCCCAAGCAATGAAGCATATTTTCATCAAGGGTCGCCGAGAACACCACATGAGGACATCTTCTCACATGTATAAACCATCCAGGAGCAGAAGCATGAGTTGTGTGAAGGGTTCCAAGGTACGTCAACATAAGCCCAATACCAGGCTCTCTGAGCCGTATACCCTGCAACCTGGTTCCTACATCCCAAACTGAAGCCCCGCAGCCTCAACCCTCAGGCCTAAGGCACTAAGCCCCGGGCCCCAAACATGAGGCTATGGGGGTTGACCTCTACGCGCGAGCCAAGCGAATCGCGCTTGCGCAGAGTGCGGTTCCCGAGATCTAGGTGCGGGTAATATGGGTTAATATTGGGAGAATCAAATGGAAAAGAAAATGAAAAATGACATGGCCGCTAGGGTTGTATTGGTTCGTATCAAAGTCGTCTCAAGGGCTTCCTCCTCATTTCAGGAAGGTCCCATGTTGTTGACGGAGGAAGCCTGACAATTCGCTTGCAGCCGAGTAGTCATGGGTGACCCTGCTATCCCACAATGATTGATTGACCCGGCCTAAGGTGCCAGTTTTGCTCTCAGGGTTTCCAATCTGGGTCCCTTTGTATACCCCAGAATGTTGCATATACTTTAGTCCATATCAAAAAGGACACTCCCAAAGAGACCCCTAAATTTCCGACGCTAATGTCCTGGATGTTACGAGCTTTTCACATGGCTTCGGCACAGTCCTCCGCTCTGTGGGCTCAGGACGGCATCATTTTGCCTATTTGGCCGTCCATGTTAAACGGGCTACAAATAAGGTTATAAACTCAGCCATAAGTACCCTAAACCCTAAACTGCTGTAGGTACTTACTACGTCCCATAAACTGCCAAGTAGACTCGCTGGTTGCTAGTAGGAAACGAAGATAATGGAAAGCACTTGGAAACCACCCTGCAGAGGAACTACTTCAAGGATCTATTCCTCCATTCCTTGCTCGCACCCTAAACTTTAAGTCTCAAGGATCCTTAGCCCTAACAGCCAGTAAGTAGATGTTAGACCTGAAAGGCATCCAAGCTGAAGAGATGAAGATTCAGCATTATTTCCCAATAGCGACTAGGGTTTATGGTTGGGTTTCTAAGAAAGATGGGGCCCCAATGTTGATCCCCAAAAGTGTCATTCCTGTTTACGCGGACCCACCCCAAAAGGACCCCTAATTTTTTGAAAGCTCTCATACCCATAAACCTCCACATAACCCCAGCGTCCATTTCATTTTCCATCTGATTCTGAACTATAGGTAGTCCAATAAAAGACCCCTAATCTATGGAGACATTCCTACACAGCCATTATATACCACGACATAACCCTAGAACCTTAAACCCTAAACCATATACCTCAAATGATCCCTATAAACCTTTTGTTGGTGTTTCCAGATCTCTTCTAGGCCTTCCAAACCCTCATTTTCAAATGAGAACACCATTTTAAGCAAACCCTTAGAGTGTAGCTTTTAGGTTTTGTGTTTGTTTTGCAGTGTTTGGGGTCAAGTGTCTTATTTGATATAGGTTTTAGTGCCCATCGACACCAGAAAGTTAATTTTCTTGCACCCAAACGGTCATTTGGCTTGAATCATTTGTTGAGTTAAGGAGGAGGTCATCCTTAAGCCCAAAGTTTTCAGCACAATAATTCGGTACCAAATCCTATACCCCGCCTCTGAGCCTGCCATTGTCCGCAAGTGGCTGCTAGCACGTCTTCCAGGGGGATGGTCTTCAGAACAAATTAGGACTTCAGCAAAAAATGCGTGAATTGTGACTGAGGGCCCTTCCTGCTGGCAGCACTTGCTCTATTTGCTTAATTTATGGACGCGTCGTCCCGACGCGCAGCCCGATCTCGATATCGAGCTCCCTCTTCAAGGGCCCAGGCGTAGCACTGACCCTGCGCCTTGTAGGTCTCACGCACGCCGATCTGGGTGGTATTTCAACCATCCATGTGAGGCCCAAGAGGCACTCGAGTGAAACCTTTTGTGAGGAAATCTCTGCCATGCCCTATGTTAAGGATCATTACATTACATAATAGGGTCTATGTGAAGGACGCCTGTTCATCCCGCAAAATGTTTCTGCATGGGTGAGTTCGAGTTTATTCAGACTTAGATTAAAGGCTAGGCCCG